CACCGTGCAGGAGTGTGTTGGAGGAAATATACCTGACACCTCTTTACTATTGACTCGTGTATTAATCATCTAGTCCGGTTCGCATGCAAATTCATCATGCAAGGAACCGAGGGAGTTTTAGCTCTAAAGTGTTACGAGGGTCCTTATATCCAATTCAATCACAAGAATTGCTGAGCACCACCAGAAAATCCTCACTTTTGCTTTTCAGCTTAATCTAAAACCAAATTACTCCCCAATAAGCTGCAATATTACTAGCAAACAACACCCTCACCCCCTTTTTCGGTATTTCCTATTTCCTGTTTCCTATTCCGGTGAAGCCAAAATATAGGGATAGAGATAGGCGTAAGCCAACAAAACTGGAAATTGAAGGTTTAACAAATTTAGGGTAGGAATAAAAACAAAACATTCTAGGTTAGTGCACTCAACACAATAAGCCAGTAGAAGCTACAAAGGTTACAGTTACATAAGGGAATGACAGATGTAAAATTATGGTTAGCGGGCGGCAACACACGACGAAGTCGGGTGTTGTCGCCAGGGCTACCTTGAAAGAAGGGTGCAATGTCAAACATGATCCTCCTTCTTCTATTTGTCTTTCTGCCGAGGTATCGCAGCTCCCGCTGACCATATCTATACTTGAGGATTTTTATGCCTTGAATTTGCAACTTGAACTTCAATTGGCATGCTCTCAACATACCAAATCATCCAGTCACTACTAAGACTTTTGCAATGATCAAGCCAGCTGAAATGCCAGTGTGCTATTAAAATAGCTGAAAAACTCCAAATGATACCCCTGTAGCAGACTCCCTTGGGGTTGATTTAAATCTTAGCATTAGGCAAGCCAGCGCAGCCAACCACAAGCTTGGATGCAGCAGCCAGCCCTTTTGCTGCAAGATGTCCTGAACCAACATAACTGGGTACATCCATCCTACCCACCTACAGATTGACCCACTGTCATAACTCGCAAGTGTTTCTTAGCTGTTGTGAGTAATACCCACCGCAAACCGCTCCAGATAGAAACGTTGCAAAATTCATTCCTCCCCTCACAACGACAATAGATTCCCTCGCCTACAGTATAGCAGCAGAATGCCACAATGAAATAGTCACTCCCTTCCCTCCCACAGAGGACTGCTCTCCCTGACCTAGTTAGAGGTCACCTGATAATTCAATTCAAGTGGCAGTCACTTGATCCAACACAATCTTCCCACACTGACTCCCCTTGTGTATCGCGCCTTCTGATAGGGGTTTTCCACCACCAATCCGCCCCTCCACATCACCCTTTGCATGTACTGTATGACCAACAAGTCAGTTTCCATTCCCCCACGCCTTTTTTCAACAGACCGCAACAAACCAAACCAAACCAAACCAATCCAGTGGATCTTTTTCAAAAATTTTCCACATCCATCACTCCACATATCATTCGCCTTTTTTTCGTTTTTGCCCACCCATTTTCTCTTCCACACATAGTTTCCTTCGCTCGACTCGAATCGAATCGCTACAACAACTTGTCAATGACATCCTTGGCCGCCGAAATGGACGCTGACTTGTGCTTGCGGGCCAATTGTTCCTCTTGGGTCAAGGGATTCCATCCCGCGACGAGTAGTTGACAATCCATACGCCCCAGTGTGCGACACGACAAGACTTCCCTTTGTTGTTTGGATTTCGATTTGGATGCACCACTGGGACAGAGAATGAGTAAATTCCATTGATTCCAATCGTTCAGACGATGCGTGGCGGCATTTCCCGGAGGAGGTTCAATACCCACGACCGTGACGGAATGTCCTTCCCATTGCAAGTAGAGTGGCAAAATGGTCGTCTCAAATGTTTTGGTGGCGGCCGTTCCAAATATTTCCGCGGCTGTCTTGTCTTTGGCCGTATCATAATTCTGCTCGGCCCAATCGAGACAGGTTCGAACGGTAGCCGCGGTTTTATGGTTAAAAGAGGGTGGTGCTGTTTGAAAGTACGAAAACAAAAACGCGGGAAGCAATCGTCGTGACGGCAAACAGCGAATGAATTGGACGACCGTGGCATCGAGTCTCCAAAAGGCAAATAGGAATCCCACTTCGACGGCTCCAATCCAACTCTGGCGTCCTACCAGCGTATGATTGAAATGTTTGGCACCATCGGGGTCAAATCCCTCTTGCCACGACCGTTCGTATTCCTTTTGCAATTGATCCAACGACGGTAATACGAGCAAATCGGTATCTGTAGCAATGTTGGAAGTGTAGACATGATCGGGGACTTGCCCATAAATATGCGCCACGGCAGTAAAGAATGGATGCGACGGTGGAAGCAACGGTACCAGAGCCGAGAGTAGCATTTGGGTGTTTCGGAATCCACAGGACCACTTGTCGGTTTGTTGAATATGCTGCAGCAGTGTCGAGTTGGTCAGGAGAAATTTTCGACTACTACTAGGACTGCCGCTGCGACTGGTTTGTTGCTGTAGCTTGATCAAGGGAGGAAGAATTCCGTACGTGATAATGGCCGGGTCATCTGTCAACCAAATCGTAGCTGGAGGTTTCGTCACGGCCGCGTACGTCTTTTTGGTATTCGTCGGAGTGAGCACTTGCACTTCGTCGTCGTCGCTTGACACTGTTGGATTGGTGGCTTTGTCGCTGGGTGCTGTTGTAGTTGTAGTAGTGCTAGTAGTAGCACCTGGATGATCAGCAGGAAAGAATTTCTTCTTTTTCTTTTCCTCTGGAGAAGATTTTAGCTCTGACTCCTCCTTTTTCCCAGACTCCAGTTTACGCTTTCCTCCCCCGGAATTCGAGACTTTCCATGATGCTTCCACGTTTTCCAACTCGTTTTCTTTCTCGTTCTCGCTGTCGTCGCTGTCATCATCTGACAAGAGGTCCACCACATCACCGCTCCTCTTCATTGTGGCCTCGTTGAGCATGACCGCACCACGCTATCGCTATCACTGTGATACCAGCCAGAACGCTTCTATTCCTTTAGCTATCAATCCCCCGATGAACTAGCTAGCTATTCCAACACAGGAACATGAAGACTGTCTCTTGCTGTTGGTTGTTGTCAGTTGTCAGGGTGGCGTCGGGTCGTTGTCTTCTTAGAAACAAGGGTCTCCTGTGCGCTCTTTCAACAAAATGACCCACGAAAAAGGAATCACAAATAAGGTTAAACTTACGTTTCAGTCAACCTTGACATAAAACAGCCTAGTTAGCTTAAACAACTATGACCAGTAGCCAAGTCGCCCCAAGTAGGATTATGCCTAAGCCCCATTTTCCGCGGAGAAATCCGATTTCACTACTTCTGTTACAACTTCTTTTTGTAGTAATACAGTGTCGAATCTACATGAATTCTCTGCAGAGACATCTGCGCAGTCACGATACCAAAGGTGAGAAGCAGACAGTGACAAGCAAGATTTAGAGGCATGTGGGTTTCAAGAAGCTAGTCAAAACAGGGAACACAGTCGCACGTTCGCTGGTAAAATCATGTTCAGTGTCAAACCATGCCCCGAGCCCGATGAAAAGAAGTAGACAACATAGCATAACCTTCAGCTGCCAACATAGAGGAAGCCATCTACCGGTACAAAAGCCAATGATGAGGGCCAGGCTTTGACAAAGAAGAGTTCCCCAATTGAGGACCAACCAACATGGGGGCCAAAAGGGCCCGTAGTCTACTCCATAGTTGCTTCCAACTTCCAACCCCAGCGTCTCTTGCCCCAACCAAACATTCCCAACATCGCTCCCACGGCTACTAGCTAGAGTCGAGGAATCTAAACCACACAACAGTTTTTTGTTCAGTTTGTACTGTAGTGAGGGAGGGACTGATCAAAAGCAATATTATGTAGTACATGTAAAAGTAGAAGGATGGATTCCATACTGTAGCGAGCCAGTTACATCATCAGCCCACCATTGCATTACAGTATTTCACTGTAAGAAAGAAAGAAAAAGTCTTCCAAGCGGAAGCAGGAAACGTTGGTCTCAAATCACAGACCTACCTGTAGTCTAGTTGTTGCCATTCAATTTTTACATGTTGCCGGTTCTTTTGGAGTTGGCTTTGGCACAAGGTATTATTAGTACCACCGGTATTAGCTAGCAAACCTGAGATTGTGAGTGATTGTGGTTCTTTTGTTTTCATCTCTTGTAAGCGGTGAAAAGTGCCCTTGTTGCGGCTTCGTCACTGTCGGTTGTGTAAATAATGTAAGAATACCGAAGGAGAAGCTATGCAGAATCGAAAGGAGATCGCACGCTCTTGTGCTCGTTATGTTAACAGTACACTTGTGTACCGAACTCGTACGTCATTTAGAATAGTCTTAACCAGCAATGGGAAGCATGGCAAATGTTCATTTAATAGATCAATAGTCAGACTAAACAGCGACATTCTGCTGTATTGGGGGAAGCTTTTTGTTAGACGCAAGTTTCTCCAAGTGGACATCATTTCCGAGATTCCATTGGATTCTCGTTTGATATGCGAGGAAGAGCTGAGGAAGCCTCCAGCAGCTGCCACAGAAGCTGCTCAAAGACAGCAGACACGAGCGGTTGCCATCTGCCATCCATCATCCATCAAAACAAGCATCCATTTGCAAGCAGCCCACCATACTAATATCGATAGAGCCCCACAATCTTGGCAGCTTATCTTCTCTCTTCTTCTTTCCTCTTATTACTTGAGAACACCTTGTTACGGTGGAACAAACAAAGAAGAATAAGATCAACCATCTAGGCCGCAGCCATCAAGCCTCTCTCTCTCCCTTGTCTTGTCTGATTCGATTCACAATCAGTACCTCTTGTGAAGGATACACCCCCCCTTGCGTACCTGCCCTTGCTACCACCTTTTCTACCGTTTCTCTCCTATTGCAATCATCTATCTAATCCACCATGTGTCCCTTCAGTCAACAGTCGGCTCAGGCCGCCGCCACTCCCTCTACAACCACCGAAGCAACGTCTGCGTCTCCACCGAGCAGTCCTACTAATGCTGCTGCTGCTGCTTCGATTCCTACGACGAGTAATTGGGACGCTGCCTTGTCCAGTGCTGTCTTGGACAGTGTGATTGATCCCACCATGGTGATTGGAGAAGACGGGATCATTGTCTATTTCAACATTGCCGCGTGTCAAGCCTTTGGCATGACGACGGCACAAGCCATTGGCAGCAACGTGACGGTCCTCATGGCCGACGAGAAACACGCCCAACAACACGGCGAATACTTGAAGAATTATCAACAAACGGGCCAAAAGAAAATGATTGGTCGGAATCGCGTCGTCACGTGCAAACGATTTGATGACACCGGTGCGACGTGGAATGCGTCGCTCAGTATTTCCGAAGTAATGCTCGAAAACAAACGATTCTTTGTCGGTGCACTACGAGATGTCACGGAGAGTGTGGAAAAACAACAATTGTTTTCCTCTGTCATTGATGAAGCCATTGATGCCATTTTCACCATTAACGAACGCGGCATTATTACCCTCGTCAATCGCAGTGCCTGTCAAATGTTTGGCTACACGGAAAATGAATTAGTGCAGAGCAATGTCTCCATTCTCATGCCGGAACCGCATCGATCCGCGCACGACAGTTACATTCGCAATCATATCAGTACGGGCGTGCAGAAAATGATTGGGACCGATCGCACCGTCACGGCCCAACGCAAAGATGGATCGCAATTCCAATGTCGCTTGGGATTGTCCAAATTGCAGACCAATGGAGGTAAAGTCGCCTTTGTCGGACTGCTGCATGATTTGACCCACGAATTGGCCGCGCGGCAAGCCGATGCCAGAGCCGAACTCGCCGACAAGATGCGCAAACAAAAGGCACTCTTTCTTGCCAGCATGTCCCATGAAATTCGGTATGTATGACTTGTTCTTGTTTGATGGTTTTGATTGTTGAATGATTGTATCCAAATGACTTACTGACCACTCTCGAACCTCTTTTTACAGAACTCCCTTGAATGGCATTTTTGGAATGCTCGAATTGCTTCGATCCACCGAATTGGATGAAGTTCAGACCGAATGGTTGGCCACGTGCAGTCGCAGTGCCCAATCACTCACTACCATTCTAGATGATATTCTACTCTTTAGTCGAGCCGATGGAGGTGGAATTACACTGGAGCGATTGACGTTCAATGTCAGAGATACCATTGAAGATGCCGTTACCGTGTTGGCATCGCAGACCAATGACAAGGCCGTCGATTTGGTCTATACCGTCTCACGATCGGTACCCGATTTCCTCATTGGAGATCCCACGCGATTGCGGCAAGTCATGCTCATCTTTTTGAGCAATGCCTTGAAATTCACACAAGTGGGACATGTCGCACTCGAAGTCAGTCTCGATGGTGTCGATGACGACGACTCGTCGTCGGATGATGACGAAGAAGATGAGGAAGATGAAGACGATGGCAAGGTTCGTCCTCGGGACGATGGGAAAATCAAACTCAAATTTGAAGTTTCCGATACCGGGATTGGTATGACCAAGAAACAATTGAAAAAGTTGTTCCAGCCATTTACGCAGGCCGATGAGTCGACCACCAGGCAGTACGGAGGGACAGGTATGTTATTTGCATTGCTGCAGCCAGTTAGTTTAGCTTGTGGAAGAATGGCTGTTGTGTGTCAACCAACCAACCCGATGCCGCTAACATGTATGTCGTCATGTCATTGTTGCTGCCTGTTCGTTCAGGTCTGGGCCTTTCCATTGCGAAAAAGCTGGTCAACCTCATGGAGGGAGACATCAACGTGGAATCCAGATCCAATCGGGGATCCACCTTTGCTTTTACCGCGCTTGTGGAACAGGACCCCGACGGTTCTACTGCTTCCGACCTGACCGATAAGATCCCCGAGGCCGACTTGGAGCTCTTGAAGGGAACTCATATCTTGTCGATTGATGACAATGCCGTCAATACGCATTATCTCGTCAACTTGCTCAAATTGTTGGGCTGCGATGTCACCGGAGCTCGATCTGGCGTTGACGGTATCGAATTGGCCAAGTTGGCTGCTCTACGGGAAGACCCTTACGAGATTTTATTGCTCGACTTTGCCATGCCTGGTATGAGCGGATTGGAGGTGGCAGAGTTCATGGCCAACTCGGCCAGCATTGCCGCTACCCATTTGAGAGTGATCATGTTGGGATCCATTGACGTGCATCGCAACATTGTAGCCTCTACCTATGTTCATGGCTTTACCACCAAGCCCATTCGACGATTGCCCTTGATTCGAATGATTGTCGAGCAACTCAAGATCAAACGGGGTATGCTGAGCAGACCCATTACGAAGGGTCCCGTGGCCTTGAGGGATGAGTCGCCTACTCCTCGAGCACCTCATCCCGTCACAATGGCGGCACAAGAAAAGACCATGGACGGTGCTATCGAGCGAAAAACATTCAATGGCGCCCTCGGAGCCAGCAGGCCAAACCCAATCAACATTTTGCATGTCGAAGATAACTTGATCAATCAAAAGGTGATTGTCTCCATCCTGTCTCAGTGGAAGTGCAATGTCACGACAGCATTGAATGGTCTCTCCGGATTCGAGGAACGAGTTTCGAATCAAGGAGGAAAGGGATTCGACTTGGTGCTCTGTGACTTGCACATGCCCTCGTGTGATGGGTTCCAATGCGTCAAAATGATTCGAGAATGGGAAGAGAAGAATGGAGTGAAGCCCATTGATATCTGTGCCGTCACGGCAGACGCAAGTCCAGAGACTCGAGACCGCTGCTTGGCGCCAGAGGGCGGCTTCAATGAGTTCATGGCCAAACCTCTGCGCAAGAATGAACTCAAGGAAATGATTGTCAAGATGTGCGGACCCGGTCGGTTCGAACCGGGCACTCCAAACAATCCCGTTCGTCGTGGCTCTGGAAAAGGCGCCGACAGCTCGTCCCAATCCTCCACCACCGCGTCCACGGCCACACAGGCTGGTCCAACGCATGTCTTGGTGGTAGATGATACGCCAACCATGCGACTTTTGCTGCGCACTCTTTTGACCGGAATGGGTTGCCGCGTGTCCGAAGCTTCTTCTGGAGAAAGTGCAGTGGAAATCGTCCGCACATCCGTTTCCGATCCACACGAACGAGTCGAGATGGTGTTCTGCGATATGCGCATGCCTCCTGGCATCAACGGTATCGAGACCGCTCGCCGCATGAAGTCGATTTCTGGAACCGAGAGTTTGCCCATTATCGGCATGACGGCTGATGATGTGTCCCATGTGGCGTTGAAAGAAGCCAGAGATGTCGGCATGGTTTCTCTGATTTCCAAGCCCCTGGGGCGAACCCAATTGTCGTCCTATTTGGCAGAGCATACATCCACTGTGTCGCTTTTACACGAGCGTCTGCACACGGACGAAACCAGCAGCGAGGAGAGTGACGGCGACAACGATAATGATGAAGGTGTCTTTGACAAAGAAACAGCCTTGGAAAACTGCGGTAACGACTCTGATTTGTTGGGAACTTTGCTGGCGGACATGGTGAAGGATCTCAAGACCCGTCAAGACAAAGTCGCCATTTCAATTCAACGCAAGGATTTTGGACGTGTTGCCGAAGTGGCCCACGACATCAAGGGAATCACAGCAATCTGCGGTTTTCAGCGGCTCGCAAAGGCTGCTTGTAAACTGCAGAACCGTGCTTCGCAAGGAGATTACATTGCAGTGAGGAAGGATGGTCAGATTCTGCAGGATGAGATTTCCCGTGCTTGCAGGGTTGCCCGTGAGACTCTTGAAGCGTAGCTACAATGCTAGACAATGACAACAAGACCATCATCATCATTGGCAACATGAGATGCAAGTCATCGTTGCTTTTGATGCAACACACGTTCACGCTTGACGATTGAATCATTCTTTGCTTCCATTGATGCTACACACTTCCACGCTTGGCGACGATTGAATCGAATCATTCGTTCCTTCCATTGTACAATCCGCAATGCCTTGCTTTCATTTTCTCGACATTGCATTTTTATAAAAAGATAACCTTGTTCATTTTGAAAGAGCTGGCACGAGTAGTTCTGTATTTTGTTCTTGCTCTCTAGCTAGCTAGGTAGTTAGTGGTTGTTCAATGTTGGGTCCTTAGTTCGTTCTCGAGGTTTGTCATCGATACCGGTACCGGTACTATGCATAGATCGAATCATTCGTGGAGTTGGAGGTCTCGGAGTGTTGTCTGGCAACGATGGAATGTCACCCATTGCAGAGTCTGAAGGAAGCGTGGGCTGTGGCTGGCAATGGGGCCCGAGCGAGAAGGGCCATCAGACGGATGGGTGTCTGTACCGTACGGTAGCTGGTAGCTACCGTACCTATCCACAAGAAAGGGCTTCCGCAGCTTGCTTCATTGATGATCCCAAAGCCTACCAGTACTACAAGTAGCTAGCTAGCTAGCCCTCTACAACTGTTTTAGAATTCCTCTTGTGACTTGGATTGACGGAAGGGTCAGAGAGGCGGCATGCATGATTGAACCCAAAAGCCTGTCTGCCAGCCAGTCTTGGGGGAATAACTCGGACAGCCGTACTCTACGATTGAAATAGAGAGAGAGTTAGAGTGTGAGACCAGCGCTGCGCTCCAGCACCGGCGGCAGAACGATTTGTGCCGGCATCCTCAACCCTCAATCGCCCAAAAAGGAACCTCGTCATGGCTAAAAAAATTTACAAAAGCATTCCCCATGACTCCCAGACCACGAAAGTGCATAGATTAGCTGTCCGTACAATAGGAATTCCATTTGATTTGTAAGTACGTTTAGTAAAATGTAATCCAGTTTGCTAGACGATGTGTAAAAGTTGGGAATGGAATCAGCTTGATTTGGACCCGCTACCACGATTCCACTTTCTTCAAGGACGGTGTATTACCATTTTCGTGGCGGTTTTGATTCGATTCCAAAAGCTCCATTCCTCTCATAAAATTGATACAGCAGAACTTGCAAGCAACAGCGATTCCAAGAGCTCGGTTCCTTCACAACAAGGTTAGAGGATTCCAGAACAACCAGCATAGGAAACAACCAACCCATACATAGCCCGTGGGATAGAGTATAGCATTTGTTCCGTCAAAGCAAACCAAAGCAAACCAAGGAGCCACACAAGTCTATCATATTTCATTCTTCATCGAAACCAAACAACAAAATCAACATGGCCATCATCAAGACCACTCCTTCTACCAGCAGTCTGTTGCATCGCAACCAGTATCAGATTCGCGCTCAGTTTCTCAATAGTTTGGGCATTGTGCGGGACGTTGTTCCAACAGATGACGACAGCGAGGATGAGATGGAGGGCACCAATGACAACGGCAAGCAACCACTCGAGTTTATGAGGGAAGACGACGACCATGACATGCAGCAGCAAACCCAAGTGACGTTTGCCCTAGACGTGTCGCTCCACGAGATTCCTTCCCATAGAGACTATAGTCCGGAAGACAAACTTGCCATTTGGAATGGCTCTAAACAAGTATCAGCCATTGTGCAGAGGAATACCGTAGAGTACGCAGCAGAAGGATGGTGTGTCGAAGGAGTTCTGGAAGAAGACTCGTTCGTGCAACTGCCCAGTGGAGAGCTGGTACATCCAGCCACTTTGGAACAGCAACAAAGAATAGCCAAGCAACGCAAGCTGCGAATGCAAGCTGAGAAGCGAAGGAAACAAGGATATGCCTACAAGTCCGTAGCAGACTGCCTGAACTTTCATCAAAAACCAGTCAAGGCCAAGCGCCGAAAACAAAAACCATCCAAGCGAACGCCACTGCGAACGCTATCCGCAACCAGTGAATGAATAGGTGCAACTGATGTTCACATTTGCATTGGATGGTCTCTACTCTACTCTTCTACATCTAGCTACTAGGTTAATACTTTCAGAAAACATTCATCATCTTTCATCTTTCATGCTGTTACTTCTGTGTGTGTTGTCTGCCCACTAGACTACTGTACAAGACCTGCATCATCTTTAGAAAGACTGTACCGCCAAGCAACTTGCCAACAAGCCAACCAGAATTCCCAAGAATTATCCCCATTGTTCCCCATCATCCCGATCTTGTTGAGAGGCTGATGTCAAGCACCCCGATGAAAAAATGGCTCGTGTTCAGTGAGAAATATGTTTTAGACCTCGCGATGTTTGTTCAGTAGACGACTCATAAAGGAATAAGTCTTAACCTTACCACGATTTCTCTTGACCACGTCTGTCACGTGCCAAAGACAGCTGTCTTTGGTCAGCTGTCTGTCTCTTGTAACGGAAACGAGTACCCTACCGCTTATTGTTGTTCCAAAGTTGCCGTTGCTTTGCTGGAACTGCAAAAGGCCATTAGTCTAGTCTAGGTCTTGACTTCAAGAGTTGAGTTCGCTGTTGAATTTGCGGTCCCCTTCGGTTGTCTATCAGCTGGCTACTGACAGTTCCCTGACCTGGCTGGCTATTTCTAGATTTCGGTCGGTTTCAGGTTGCCGAGAATGGTTTTTACGACGGTGCTAGACAAGACTAGCCTACTAGCTAGTAGTAGCTTGTAGAAGCTAAATGTACGTTGCCGCAGAACCAGCTTCTGGACACTGTGAACGAAGAACCCAAAGCAAGGCTACAATGGTGGCCATAGGTCCAGCCAGCCTTCCAACCGTGAGTATGATGAGCAGCTACCAGCTTCTTAGGTCCTGCGCACGCATGGCCAAGTCGCCTTGCAACTTCCCCTGCGAAGCAATTCCACTGACTTCGTGCGCTCTCTAGTAATTGCGACTCTACTGGTTGACAGCACCTGCATACCCGAGCAAGAAGCAGTGCAGGATCTGCAGAGCCAGCAATTGAAGCAAGTCGCTCCAACGAGCTTCTTTGGTTGTTCGGTGGCCAGGCCAGGGGTTGCTGCCAGAGGTTGCCACAGCAATGCATTCGGGGTATCCTCCTGAGTAGGCCCAGAGAGACAAGCAAGATTGCTCTCTTTTGTGAGTCTTCTGGCAATGTCCAGCTATTGCTTAATAGTACTAGTAGTAACAGCAGCCAAGAGCAGCACAAACCATGACGATCCTGATGGCTGATGGATGCATGTAGAATAATGATACTAAAGTTAGGATTTAATCCCCTAAAAAGTTACTGTAAAGGCGTCTCTTCGTCGGAAGACACCATCCTACTTGTTCCATGGTCGTTCGCTCCGAGCCCTGCCTGCCCAGCAAACACTTTACAAAGTTGGCAGCAGAAGGCAATCACCCCCTCGACCCAGCGGCAGCGGCCTTCGTTTCTCTTTCTCGTGTGGAGTAAACACCATCACATCCTGAAAGTTCATGGGTCGAGGTGGGGGAGGTGGTCCCGCAAACACTGTCGCTGCCAGCACAGATGTGCTGTTATCGTGCAACTTGGAGGGAGACGATAGGGGAGATAACATCGCCGCATGGGCACCTCCTGTGGCAACGGCCAAAGTGGAAGGTACCCCCTTGTTTTCATCTTCTTGTCCTGCAAAGATCGTTGGGAAGACATTCATTTCGTGGTCATTCGATGACTCGTTGCAGTTGGTTTCCATACTGAGAGCCTTCCAGCAAACCATATTCACGAGTGCATTTGAGCGCTTGGCACCGTTACTTTGAAGTTCCATATTGGGGTGCTTCAAGGGAAACGTAGACTCCGCATCATTGCTCGAACGTTTCGGCTTTCGTGGCGCCAAAGGGCATCTCCTCATTGTAAGCATCCTTGATGGGGATGGGCAGTAGTCGGGAAGGTTCGGAACAAGCGGCAGCCGAGGATTTTGTTTGTCCACCAGGTCCGCAAAGGATGTAGTGTCCTCGCACCGATTGTTGCACATCTCTCTCTTCGGATCAGCAGTGTTCATGTCCGCCATTGTGTTGTGTAGCTCCACGGATTAAAAGTTGTGCCTTCACCAGTTCCTAAAGCGATATTATGCGCATCGAGGCGTTGAAGTTTGGGCTGAAATTGAAGGAAGGCCAAAATGACTTCCCACTCTCACCCATTCTGCAGTTCGGGATGCCACGGTGGTTGGGAAGTAGTGTGGGGTACTGCGACCACAGAGAAAAGAGCACTGTAGATAAGACTTTTTCAGTGCTTGAAAGCGACTTAAGAAAATGTCTTTTATTTTCCACTGACAGGCAATGGGCCTGGAGAACATCGGATTATGAAAAGGCTCAGCAACCAGAACAGGCTTGTCTCTAAAAAGCTCTCTAAAATATTTTAGCATTCTCACTTTTTGCTGTATTTTATAATTCTATACTGAGTAGTAGTTAATGTAGAAAATCAGAACAGGTTTCCTTTTTCGCAATTTTACATTCATTTCTCGTTTTTTGTCCCAACACTTACATCGAAGCTGGCTCTATTGCTACTAGCTAGCTAGATACCAGTAGTCTAGTCAGCATTTCTGGCCACTCCTATGCATAGCAGCCTTGCTAGTACCGTTACCGGTAGAATAGCTGGCTTTGGAGTTATTTTAGAGTACCGACCTGTAACCCACTGTAATTTCTTGAGATGAAGCAACCAGATGAGCCAAAGGTCAGTCTGTAAGCAACTATGGTCCCTAAGCGGTTAGGAGCGATGCACTCCCAGAGTCTCTGAGCAGCTTGTTTGCTGAAATGGTATTCGCGGGTTCCATCAAGTTTTGCCACTATCCAGCGTGCCGTGATCCCATCTCCTTGAATGAGTGCGATGATCATCTCCAGCATCCAGCATTGTTTCTGCATGTTGTCGCTAGGTCTAGTTGCAAACAGGCTTTTGCTTGCTCTGCAAAAACGGTATCTTGACATGCTAGAATCTGATCTCCTCTCCTGTTTCTCACATAATGCTCATCGTTACCACTGACTACCATGTACTGAGTACGCAGAAAACCGATCTAACAATGCATTAAAGAATACCAGGACATATATATCCTCTTTTGTTTCGCACTTAATGCTCATCAAACCACTGACTTGGGAGTTTACTCAGTGGTACAATACCTGATTCGATTCGACTCGACTCGATTCATCAGATTCTGGTCACTTTTGGACAGGAAGAGCTTTAAGAGCGAGGGTATAGAGCCCGCTTAGATGGCTTTAATAAGCAAGTCTCGCACAGCTGACAAAACACATCAGGGGCACGGCAAGAAGAATTGGAAACGGCAGGCTGCTTTGCGGGATAGCCGCTGGATTTGGTTACCCTACAGTAGTCTACGCCGGAAGTCGCAGTCCAGCTGGAAAACGCTACTCCCATCTTTCATCCCAGGGCTGCAATCTACTAGTAGTAATGAGCTCACGACGACCGCTCCAGACACTTCTAGTTGGTGACTGTTACGGTCTACGACTGTATGTGCAACATATTATGAGCAAGCTGCTATGCATAGCTGGGAGCTGGCTAGAGCCGGCCACGGCCTCGTACGCCTTGCTATGAGCCAGTCAAACCCTCAACAAACTTCCAGGTGATTCTTCGTGGATCGCAATTTTAGGCGTGGATGAGATACTAGCTAGAGTAAAACGTTGTCTCGTTGTCTCAATACAAAGAGAGATCCTGTGGGCACTTCTGTCCAAAACAACCCAATTCTCAGTATGATTTCAAAGAAGCAAACGTCAGAGCACTCGTTGGTTAGGTCTGCGGAGTTCAAGTTGACCGATCAAACTGGCATATTATGTGATGCTGGGGTGCTAGGAGATGGGTTCATTGGTTCATTAGTACCTGGTACTCACACAAGGTAAGTCATATCACTCACAACACATCATGCAATCGTTCTTTTAGTTGGATTTCCTTCAAGAATGCTGCACTGTCGGCCGCTTCCCAGAGATGCTACTGTATGGTTGGCTGCTCCTTCATCAGAGATAGCAAGCCGTGCAAATTACCCACCACCTTCAAGATACCGGTACCGGTATTGGTACATGTACTAGAGCTAGTACCTTCTTTGCTCACATCCGTACTACCATTTCTTAGTTAGTACAAAATGAAAGGTTCTTGGACAGCGCCCCGGAAAACGAGAACTTTGGAAGTTTGTAGTTGCAGATTTAACAGGATCAAAGTTCAACTCAGATGTTCCAAAGGCAACTCACTAATTGAACAGTTGCCGGATTCATTCCGACGAGACTTGTGTCTGCTGCACGTTGGAAATTGATGTTGAATGTTGCGTTTCTTGTTTCTTGTCCTAGCTAGTTGGTTTGCGGTTTGTGCTTTACTCCTAGCTATGATACTAGGACTATCAAGTCAGCAAGGGAAGTCTCGCTTACCAGCTCTGTCCAAGCAGAACAATGAAGGAAGCAGCACCAGCCAGCATGGAGAACCAGTGCTCAATGCAGATGGCTGTCTCTCTCGTATCGTCGTCCGCTCCTTTAGCAAAGCCACAACAATCATTTCTGTGTACCGGTAGCTTGTCTTGACGGTTCCTTTTGTCGCGCTGATGCTCGTTCACACTGAGAGGAAAGTCCTGCCACCAGTGCTTGTAGAACTGCCGCCAGTTCCTCTCTCCCGTGGATGAAGGCGCTTTCGGTTTCGTCTGTTCCAGTGAGTCTGTATCCCAAGATGATGTGCAAAAGAGGGCGTCAA